TGGATATTGTAAGCGTGTTGTTGTATTTAGATTATTTATTGGTGTTTGTTGAACAGGGAGTTGATTAACACGTCCAGTTTGTTGTAATGTATTATACATAATATTATTATTACCTGTATTCCTATTATGTGGATAAGCAACAGTAGTAGTAGTACTATTAGTAGTGATAGCAGTAGAGAATGCTTTGTTGGTACTCAATACGTACCTTGATTGATTTACAGGCTTTACTAATCGTTGTTGTCGATAATACAGTTGTTCATCAGAGCACACTGATGAGGAAGGTGACGATGAAAATAGTACAGATGGATCATAACCTACAGAAGTCTGGTAAGACGGATGAAATGTCGTTGTAAATTGTCTGATACTTGTTGTTGGAGATCCCCATGGATACATTTTGTTGATATGTTGAATATTTTTATCATATCTGTTTATTGTACTACACTCACCGCCATTCATAGCACGATATCTAAATGCAATTGGATTTGTTTCACGTAATTGATAATGACGAGGTAGAGTGTGTGACCCACTCGTAATCACAGGGTACTCTTGTTGGCTAGTCCCACACATAATGCGTTCCACTTCACTAGCAGGATCCCATTCTGATTGATTAGGCAGTAGCGGGTGATAAACAGGATAGTTAGACATTGCTTTTTTTTATTGTTAAGTAATTAATTCCATAAATATTCTGATAGTTAGTTTCATTTTGACAATGTATATGAGAAAATAAAGATTTCTAGCACTTAATAGATAAGTACTAAATACAATAATGTTGCTTGTGTGTATTAGGAGAATTGAAAATCACCTACATACATGCACATATATCACCGTACATGCATCACGGTGATAGATCATAATCCCATCACTAAAGTCTCTTATAATGAATAATTGAATGAATAATTTCATTTACTGATGTGAAGTAGAATGATAACAACAGTACTCATAATAGTAACGATAATAATATTAATAATAAAGGACAACTGAAACTAAACGTATTGTCTTTTGTTTCATATAGGCAAAAATAGGCTACTCTAAAATATGATTGGTATACTCAACTAACCAATCAGAATGGGATACCAACTGCTATTCGACCTCTCTCGAGGTAGATATATATATATATATATATGTATATATAATGATAGAGAAAGAGTAAGAGAGCGTATGACAAACAGACAAATGAGAGCATCATTAGGCAATCATTAAGCTTATTTTAAGATAAATGAGTCGATCAAATGAAATTAAAGTTCTGTTGAAAAATATTAAAACGCTTATCAATCAGCTGTTTCACTATATTTTAAAGAAAGAGAAAAAAAATCAAACATAAAGCCAACTACCTTTTACATACGATTAACAATTGCAGATATGATAGTAAACATTTTTTTGGAGTTAAAAAAGTGAACTATCCCCTAAATATCATCATACCTGTTTGATCAAAGTGATCAACTAATATTGATTACTAAAAGTACTATGATTTGTGTAGATTATGAAAAGATTTTGTTTTTCTAGTCTGATTTATCTTACGTAGAATACTTCTAAAAAGATGATTATTCTATATTTCAATCATCGAAAGTAACATCTTTTAGTGTTTAAGTCAATTTCACTAATAATAAAAAAACTAAGTCAAGCATATAAATTGTTACATATGAACTATATTATATATACATAACAGATTTCCTTTTTCAAAATTATGAACCGATCAATGTTAGACTACCAATGAAAAACCTGGTTGGTTATTTTGTTCTAGTATACAACTCTTAAGCAGGGCATATCTAAAATCCTGCATGTGGCAGTTAAATCCAGCACCTCCGATCTTGAACGTGAATGCTGAACATCTAGACCACTGAATCAACATCTAACGGTGTTAATATTCAACTTTAATCAATTCAAAATATTGTGTGACCACCTTCCATTGTTTTCGTTTAATAATTTCCTCACATGCGACTCGTTCGAACTCCACTGGTTACAGCCTCTCATTAAAACTCTGGAAATTTCTTTTCGTATATTTAAAGATACAAGACCATTTGGTAATTTTTTTATATCAGATGGGTTTTGTGGATGTTATAATAATTTCAATGTTAATTTCAACGATATTAACCACTGAAATTATTTTTTTTATAATTTACATTATTGTTATGACGGGACGAGTACTAGAACATTTGAACTTTCGGAATCGTATCCTGCTTCAAGTTATTGTTTGTATATTTGTTCTCCAATTATTAATGAAATAAATGATTTTATGCTTGAATTGTCCACCTTGGAAACTTGTTAGTGATGTATAAACTGTCATTGTATGTTGTACCTTTCCCAAGTTACTGTTAATTTATTACGAACCTACTGCTCAGTTCTCTTTCGTTACTGTAGTTTCTTACTCATACTGATGTATGGCTACGACTTCACTCTATGTATTAATATATACGAGTTTTGTGTCATTATTCAACTGAGCCTAGGAGAAGCCAACTTCTAAGTTCTCTTTAACTCAAGGCAAGTAATAGAAAAACACTTATAGATAGTGGCCTAATAAGAGCTTAACTTTAGTCAGCTCAAGGTGACCCATTCAGAGCAGATGTATAACTGGTCAGGTCTAGGACATTAAGTGATAAGAGAAATAGTAGACGCAAAGTAGAAAAAAATTGTAGCTAGAATTCTGATTGGTGAATTAAACACGTGAGATAGATCAACATCTCAAGACATTATTCAGCTAAAGTCAACTCGTGATGTAAGGTGAGTTTCAACTATTTCCACAAAAACTTTACACAAATCACAGTAATCATAAGCTCACCAGTGACTAATTTCGAGTGACAATTCCTACAATGCTAGTGGGAATTCGTGATCAGTACAGTTCAGTTATGTTAAGGATGAAACAGTTAACTACCGATTCTATTGGAAGAGGATTAACCAACATCCATTCAAATATATATAGACGATAATTATATTATGGATAAAACAGTTTCGATATTTTTTCATTCTTCAATTACTGACATTATTCATAGTTAGATTAAGTAAAAATGAATGATAGAACAATCATTAAAAAACCAATACTGTTAATTAGTCCAATGTGAAACAACAAAATAAAACTACAGAAACATGAATTTAAAATAAAGTCAGTCTATGATAATACCATTTCTAATTACTTTCAATTAATAATACCTAAAAATTTCTAAAACATCTTATTAACTCAATAATAACAACAAAAAAAGGCAGCATAAGATTTTTATGATTGAAATCGTGAACCGATTGATGTTAGACCACTATTGAAAACCTGGAAGCACTAGACGGCTGTTTCGTCCTATTGTAGGACTATTTAGCGGTGAGCATCCACGATACCGCCTAGCGGGATTCAAACCCAGGGCCTTCGGTCTCGCGCGCGAACGTCTAACCTACTGGACCGCCGAGCCGGCATCCAATTTCTTCATGATCTCAATTAAAAAACTTAATAATCTTCACAGCCCCTACCATGTTCCCACTGGTGATTAACTTCGTCAAAGAATTTTCGGAGTGGAGCTAATCCGTGTCATGTAGAGACATGTATATACCTCAGTACAATAGAAGATGGTCGCGCGACTCCGTGGATTGGTCGAGGTTAGACATTAATATCATTGGACGCCGGCTCACTTATCCAGTAGGTTGGGTGTTCGCGCGCGAAACTGAGGGTCTCGGTTCGAACCCCGCGATCGGGATCGTGGATGCGCACTGCCGAGGAGTCCCACAATAGGAAGAAACGGCCGTCCAGTGCTTCCGGTTTTTAAATGATGGGCTAAAATCAATCGGTTCACGATCTCAATTAAAAACTTATTGATCTCCACAACCCCTAAACTGATAAGATTCTTTCATTTCTTGGTTTGAACTACTCATAAGTAGATTAATAATATAAACTCAAATCTTGGCATTGATTATATGATAAAATGGTGCATTTATAGACAAACATTTCATCATTTAGGAATTAACAGATGTTCATAGAAAATTATGGTAATCGAAATGTCCTAATCTAATACGAATACTTGGAAAAATATTTTAATGCCATTGAATTTCAATGTTATCATTTTTTATGCCATGATACGTGCATTGATTCAATATATGTTAATGAACAGTACATATTAGAAGTCACGTTTTTAGCCTCACTTCCATAATCGTGGTTAGAAACACTATTTTTACTGTTGATACAAATTATTATTTACTTTGATTACGGAATTTTCACGAATAATTATATTCATCTTACTAAACATTACGAGGCAACAAGTTATTAACATACATTATATAGGTAATATTCCAGTTTGTATTCTTTTTATTTCCTACACTCAATATTATTATGTTGTTGTGTAATGCCAGCAGGCTTGAAGAATAAAAGTTAAATTAATAACTTCAATATTTGCTGTATTTCAGAGTGCCGTTCATTTGATGAATTACAGCAAAGTCTACTAAGAACTACAGTTATAAACAAACTACCATTCAGCTTCATAAGCATAAAAATAGTGTTATACATGTACAGCTAGTGATCATTGAGTAGGAGTTAATATCATGTAAGCAGCACTAATTAAGATTTGCCTATTAGTTTTCAAAGTGGTTTGAAGTTATATGAACCATGTTTGATGATAGATGGTTAGAGAAAGTCAGCATTAAACTTCAAAGTATTGTTTTGCGTTAGGATTTAAATCCGTGCCACAAAAAAGTCAGTAGAATTAAGTCAGCTTAAATGATTAGGCAAACAGTAAGTCATTTTTAAATCAGTGTGGATTAATGTAAATACCTTGGTCCTACAGAAGCTAATCACACCCCGAGTACATCAATGGTAACATCTCAAACTACGACACTGCATGACTACTCAGTTTCTAAACCCGATTTTCAGCATCTGTATTACAGGTTTGAAAATGCACTATACCACTAGGTGGAAACTTGGCTCAAGAATTTCTGTCAAATATTTTCTACCACCTAAAGTCAGTATATCCTACTAAGCAAGTATTAACTATCTGTTAGAAATTATGCTTTCTCTCCTTCTCCCGTTTCATTTACATTTCGAATGTTTCAGTTGTCAGACCATTAATTTTCAATCTTGTTTTCTCATAGTAAGTGGTCTGATAAAAAATTAAATATAATTTTACTTACTGGTATATGATTTATTTCCATTTTCTTAGCTAAAACAATTGCCCAAAGTGGTTCTGCATAATCTCCAGTTGGCATGTTTTTTTGTCGTCTAGAATTATCTAAACTTCTCCATGCGATTTGTTGAAATAGACTTTTGGAAGAATGTGATTTTCGTAAAGCCAAATGCCGTTCATCCACTGATCCTTCAGGGTTAAAAAATAAATAAATAAATATCTCAATTTCACTCTAACTACTTACAATCAGATAGTAGTATCTGAATAAACAAAGAAATGTTGAAGACTGTAAAAGGGAAGTTGAAATCAATTTTCATAATGTGCATTCATATATTCAGTTAGATTCATGTAATGCATTCGTCACACCTGTCTCGGTTAAAACCAAGTCAAACATATCGGTATATCTTTTTTCATTCTCATGTATATAAGTAACTAATTTCAAGTTCCAACCGAACTAAATCGATCAATCACGAAAGCGAAACGAAAGTAACATTTTAGGCTTTTATATTGAGTAGTACGAGTTTAAAATTCCATAGAGAATATACGCCCTCTCAAGATTAAAGTTACCTTAACGTAAAGAATCCTAAATAACTAGAAACATAGACCCATAAATTTCTTCCGATTGTCTTCGACTACCGAAAATTAATATTTAATAGAAACTAGGATATTTAAAAAAAAATGATCTATTGAACCATATTTAAAACTGATTTATTCTTATAAAATAATTTTTTCCAGTTGAACAAATTATCATCTAAACTTAGAAGTTCAGTCGATAATACATTAGTGTTTAAAGATAGAAGTAGATAGTTTATGCTTCGATCAATACTGAGAGGCTGGTACAGCTAGATGACGAGTTCTAACTATGATAAGACGGGAGCCTTCCATTCCACTATTATCCATCATAAAACGTATGACAAAAGACATTATTGGGAATAAACATAATAACATTAAGTTCATCAATGTTCATATCTTAAATCTCTACTGGTTCCTAAAATTCAAAGGACTAGAATGTATGTATAGTTACTTAAACAGATATATTTCTTGTATATAAATCTATGTGCCCACATGTGACTAATTTGGAGGGGGGCAGAAATCACTGTATTTCAAATGACACATTGTGGTCAGTGAAGTTTAAATATGTCAGGTATGAAAAAATTACCCACCAATCATATTGGAAGATGGTTTTGTAATATGATCGACTATTTAAGGTTAAAAATGTAAATCACCAGATACTGAGCAAGTGAGATGAAGGAGTACTGGGTTTGATCCTTAAAAAAGTAATGAGCTCTCACTGATGATAAGTCCCATACTAAGATGAGACAGCTATTCAGTGATTTTATTGAGATTGCAGGGTCTAGCACTATGTCAAGCCCATATGGGTTATTCTTGACTCGGAACAGACCAAGTATTTATTCTTCTTGAGTCACAGTTCGACTTGGTCTATTATTCGCTTATTAACCTTTTCTGTTTTAACAAAGACCTGTGTCAGTTGCCCTTACACTATTCATCACATTTCTAGCTTAATAGTCTCTGCCTATAAATGATGAGTCACGCTTTATCAAAATGAGAGTTGGCAAGCTTGCCATCTCCGCTTCACTTTGCATTGCCTTCCCGCTTCTCATTCATAATGTTTGTCTGAATAAATAAGTGCCTGAAAGAAAATTGATCCAACACAACCCGTATTGGACTTCTTACCATTCCCATCGCTCAAACACAGTTAGGCCAGTGTAATATACAGAGCAAAAATGATGACTTGATTTCATGGCATATTCATTCGTTTTTTCAAACTGGAGTCATATTAACTGGTCACTTAAAGATCACGAATCGATCGAAGTTAGATAACCACTAAAAGTCTGCAAGCACACGACAACTATCTCGTTCTAGTATGGGACTCCACAGTGGTGCACATCCACGACCTGTCACAGCGGATCAAACCTAGGAACCTCTTTCCTGTGACAAATGCATAATTTATAAACCGCTGAGACAGATTCAATCACTTACAAGTCTAACTTTAATCAACCCATGATATATTCCTGCCATATTTCATAGTCTTCGGTGGATAACTTCCTCACACTCGACACAGTATAGCTCCACTGATCATAGCTTCTCACTAGAACTCCAGAAATTTTCCCTCAAAGCTAATTATTAGTAAGTATGTAATGGTTGTTTAACTAATGATTACTTAACTACAAACAGTCCGTGATGCGAATTATGAAAAAAAAAGACTTTCTTGGTTACAAAGAATGGTAGTACTATCATCTATCTCAAACTGCTTATTTATAAAATAAAACTGTCTGAAATTTTTTTTATTTTTCAATGTTTACATTATTCCGATTGTCTGTTCATCTCCAAGTTTACATAGTTCTCCTACCTGCATGATATAATGAATAGACTCCGGAGAAGTCGGACTATTATTCTCTAAATAATAATAATAATAATAATTCTATATTGAAGAACAACAACAAGTGATGGAAATATCCTTTTTTTTCACTTCCTTTAACCGTTCCAAAAACAGGAAATACTGATTTACAACTATGCACATACAATAATGATAATGATATTGTTGTGTTTTTCTAACTTTATCAATGATCTAAATTTTTAGATAAATTAGAAAAAAAAAACTAATCCAGATTAAGGAAATGAATCAAATCAGTCAATAGACAATCAGAATTATTCCTTTTACAGTTGATCATGTTGTTATATGTTGATATATTTGAACCTATTGTATGGATAGATGGAGTCTCTGTGTGTGTGTGTGTGTGTGCATGTAAGAGAGAGAAAATCTTTTACAACTGAATACCCAAATAATCAAAAGATTTAAATTGTACTCTATTTATTCCCATGTATATTTTAATATAAACTGCTTCATTGGAAAATGGATAGAGATATGTTATAACAGCCATTTTTTAAACTCATTTTGTATTGTTGGTTTGAATTCTCCGATTGATGTTTAAGATTGTAATTGATCAGTCTCTTATTGGCATATATGTTACGGAGTGAACATCAACTATGGGATGAAGGTACATTTAGCTGACGAGTCCTAAATACGATGAAACGCACGTCCTGGATTCCATTGCTAGCCACTATCCATCTTTGCTTATAATAGTTTTTGTTTGTTACAATTTACAACAAACAAGTTAACAGATACAATTAGACATTTCAATCATTCGATTTCGTCTCAGTGATCTAAATGTTAAATGTTCACCGAGAGACCTGAATTTGTGGAGTTCCATCATTAATGAGATCATGGATATAATACACCGCTGGAGAGCTGATTACTAGGACTAACCAGATGTCCAGTTGTTCTTGGCTTTCAATGATTATTTAACTAAGATCAGTCTGTGATGTAGACTATGAAATTTAACAATCACAATACTTCTTCATCGATTCTAATTCCCTTTTTTACCGCATCAACTGCTGGGCAGTTTATTCTAATTAAATCATACAACTCTAAAGTAAAGATTATGACTAACTCTCTCTTCATGTGTTTACTATTATGATAAGTTATTTACTGAATTATTAGTTTGATAGAAGTCTAAATAGTAAATACAATTTAATATTGAGAATAAGAACTTTGGTACCGATATAGACGTAGTTATTCAATAACTGAGCGGATAATATCTTGGGCATTCGAAAAGATAGACAATGAGGCTCTGAGTCTCAACGATGAAAGCTCCATGATGAAACCATCCAGCACAGAGGACGAAACTCCATCAAAATCACCCATCTGAGCTATAAATCTTCTACACCATTCAAAAACTTTATTTAAAACTGCCAAAGGAAAATTTCTCTTAAAAATTTAATGGCTAGAGTATTTTTTTCGCCATCATTTTGTATGTTTACACAGAAAATAAAAACTTTTTGGCTGCTTTTTCATCTGCATTGTGTATATTGTATGTCTGTTTAGTTTAAATAAGAATCTATTTCGGCTGAAATATTATCTTTAGGATTTTGTCAAAAATATGGCTGCTTTTTATCTACATTAAACTAGAATGAGTAGTGAGGAATATTGTGTTTATCTAGCTCTGAATGCTAATCGAATTCCGTCAAGCTTAGATATCATAGACTGTGAAATTGGATTATCTGGGACTGAATTCATCAAGAAATATCAGTTCCCTCAATATTATAGGTATATCTTCCTGTGATGAATGCTAACTAGCACAAAAATAGAGCCAATCGGGATGTTCTGTCGACTACTACCGACCACTTAACAGTGAACTATTTTCCTTACAACCTGTCATGAATAAATAAACTTTAGTGTATTCTATCCCTTTTCTAGAAACATCCTAGACCAATAAAAACTCGAATATATTTGTAAGTTGAGGTTACTTAAAAGCAAACGATACGTTGAATAACCAAATAAACAATTTATCCCGTCAGATAAACATGCAATGTCATAATTAAAAATGAAATTTGAGGGAAATCAACCTGAGAAACAACTTCATTCTATTTTAGAGAACAGCTCAAAAGTGCATACTTTATTAATTTTTCTAAAATATAACATTAACATCAAACTACTATAGTGACTTAAAATGAATGATATTTTCTTAACCATAGCTATTTCCAAACATCAGGGATCATTGTCTAATGCATTTTGACTTTCAAAATGACACATCCAAGAAGTTGAGGTTTCCAATTGATAAATATAAAACACTATGTTTCTCAAACATCTGTCACTCAGAAACTGTGGATTATGAATCAGAGTTATGATATCTTAGTAACTGTACTAACTTGAAGATGATTTGTACTATTTGTTGTAATTAACTTATGAATGTTCTGTAATGAAATGGCGCTAAAGCAGTGTATTACTGACATCTAAAATCTAAACAGGTGGAGAATCTTATTTTGTCTGCATAAAAAGATAGTGATAGCAATTCTTCTTCATAAAATTGATAGCGTCTACATATCACAATTTTTCATTGTACTCCACTGTTTATTAATTGACTCTTTGACGACAGTGTTTACAATAAAATCATTCTTAAATACTGTTCAACTTTATATTCATTTGAAGAAGTAATACTATTGAATGTGTACACAAAAGACGATCAAATATTCACGCATTTTTTGTTTAAAACAAAGCATTTTATGGCGTCAAAGGAAAAATCTAACGTTATATAAACCTCTGATCCTACCTTTATACAATAGAAAAAATTCTTTGTTTCACGAAACATTTAGAATGAATTCGCCTG